GGCGAGTCTGAAATGAAAGGGCATATGAATGCCCTATAGCAGGAGTAGGCAACCTTTCCCCTTTAAGGGCCGAGGGACTTCAGCTCCCAGAATCCCAGGAGCTATTGGCCAACATGGGACTATTGGCCAACATGGCTGAGGCTTCTGGGAGCTGAAGTCCCTCGGCCCTTAAAGGGGAAAGGTTGCCTACCCCTGCCCTATAGAGAGAGAGGCGACAACTACTACCCCTTGTATCAAACACCAACATCAAATGGGTTTAAATTCTGTTTGAGATAGGAAACTTGGTTATGATGTTGTTGTTATTGGTAATCCTAAAATGAATCTATCATGGGGTTTTCTAGGCAAGATTTATTCAGAGGAGGTTTGCCATTGGCTTCCCCTGAAGCTGAGAGCATGTGACTTGCCCAAGTTCACTCAGTGGTTTTCATGCCCGAGCCGCTACTACACCGTGCTGGCTCTAACTTGGTTATATCTTATACTATTTAAAGTCACCTTTGTACCCAGAAACACTCAGTTTCTATGAGGTTAGAAACTGACAGTGCAACTCTGGTCTAACTCTGTAGTTAATTTAGCACTAACCATGGCTTGACTGGCATATATGTAACTTTTATCTGTGGTTAAAGCTGTTATCCTCAACAGCCTTAATCTTGATTTAAGATTCCATCTGTACCAGCCTAAATTATGGTTAATGCTCAGTTAACTCTAGTTATCTTACAGTGCATCTACACTGTAGAAATAATGCAATTTGACACCAGTTTAAGTGCTATAGCTCCATCCTATGGAATCCTGAGATTTGTCATTTTACAAGGCCTTTAGCTTACTCTGCCCAAGAGTGCTGTTGCCTCACAAAACTACCAATCCCAGGACAGCCATGGCAGTTAAAGTAGTGCCAAGCTGCATTATTTCTACAGTGTAGATGCACTGTAAGATAACTAGAGTTAACTGAGCATTAACCATAATTTAGGATGGTATAGATCAGGCAACCTAAGGCCCGGGGGCCAGATGCGGCCCCCTGAGGCTTTTGGACCGGCCCCAGGCCGGTCCTGCCGCTGCCCCCCGCCATGATGATATTGATTATTGTTGTTATTACTTGTTCTTGGGGTTTTCTTGGCAAAATCTCCACATGGGGTTTTGCCATGGCTTTTCTGGGGCTGAGAGAGTGTGCATGCAAATTTTTATTTATTTATTTATTTATTTATTTATTTATTTATTTTTGGTGCTTCGGTCCCCCAATTGTCTGAGGGACAGCAACCCAGCCCCTGGCTCAAAAAGGTTGCCTACCCCTGGTATAGATGGAACCTTCAATCAAGATTAAGGCTGTTAAGGATAACAGCTTTAACCATGGATAAAACTACCAATCCCACGACAGAGCCATGACAGTTAAAGCAGTGTCAAGCTGCATTATTTCTGCAGTGCAGATGCACCCTGCATCTAATCTGCACTGCAAAAATAATGCAGTTTGACATTGCTTTAACTGTCATGGCTCAATGCAATGGAATCAAGGGATTTGTAATTCGTTGTGACACCAGAGCTCTCTGACAGAGATGGCTAAATATTTCATGAAACGACAACTCCCAGAATTCCATAGCATTGAGCCATTCAGCTTTGTTTTGCATCTAGTTGCATCTACCATAGTTTTCCATACATTTAAGCTATCTTTAAGGAGTTTTAGTCTGTTATAATTATTTTATTTGTGCATTTAATGTTTTAAATGTTGTTATCTATTATGCATCATTTCAGGGAAAGTGATGGCCAGAGAAGCCTTAAATAAATGCTTTAAATAAATAATACTCTAAATAAATGTGTATTCTGAACAAGAGTACTTGCAGCTGTGCAATTAAAGGAAGGAAGGAAGGAAGGGAATAATTTCTATGCCAGAGTGTTCCATATTCTGTGCTGAGAAAAGCTGAATTTTGCAATTCTTGTCAATTATGCAAATCTTCACAATTTTTCTTATTTATTCTTGCTTTTATACAATTTTGCATAATTTGAGGGATGGCATTGAAATTCTGGACTTTATCACATGTGGCTAAAAAGTGAAATTTTAACAGGCTGGTACTTATCACACAGTGGCTGGTACTTATCACATGATATCATGTCATGTCCATCCTGCTGCTGCCTTGCTTTCTGTTTAGTCCTGTAGCATACCTTTTCATTGATGGGCAAAACCTGTCAATAGGCTCTCAATCTCACTGTTATTCCATTACTGCCTTTGTGCAATAGGTCCCTTCTGCTACAGTTCCGCTTCTTAGGCCGCTACATAGTGTGAGTGGGAATCATTCTGCTTCTCTCCCCCCTCAACCTTGCAGCATTGCGGCTACCAACACCTTCCCAAAGCCAGGTGCTGTGTACACATTCACACAGCAATTGGCTTTGGGAGGCAGTTGGCAGCCACAGTTGCTCCTTCTCCCCCTTCCTCCTGGCATTTTGAAGTGCGAGAAAGAGAATCCCACAACCGTGGATTGCCAAAGTGCTATTGTGGGGAGAAGTGTGAGTAGAAATGATGCCAAACGGGTACGCTTCCATTTGTAAACTACTGTGATTGTGGTGTGACAGCGGGCTGGTGAGAAAATCCTCTGTTTCCAGCCCACTGGATCTTTTGTGACTGTCTACCACCTTCTGCCCATCACAGATTTTGGCACCTCTCATCCCAGAGCAGATTATTACATGGGGTTATAAAACGGATGAAAAACAGAGTGCTGCCATCATTATAGTGCGATCGCATGAAGATTTTCACTCGACGTCATGCTCATCAAATATTTCACCCGCGAATAACCTGGAATTGCCCCAAAACTTCTTATTAGTGGGGAAAACCCATGAATAATTTGCCAATAGCGCGTCATTCGCACTATTGTGAAGGCACAGAAGCTAATAACAATGCATTTGCACTATTGGGGAGCGCTATCAGGGAGCTTTTCCCAAACTACACTTCAGCACAGGCAATTTGCTCTAATTGCTAGGATTGTTTTCAGAGTAGATTTCTGTCTTATTTTGAGGTATAGGACACTATTTTATTTGGATATATCTCATGTTAAATATCAAAATTTTATTTTGTTCTGTTTGGGACGGGACCATATTTTTCAGACATGTGCAGTAGCATGATAATGACACATGTGCAAAACATCCAATGACGATATGCTAACGATACAGCAATGCGATCGGCTTTTGTATGTGGAACGTGACTGCGTTTTTGTTTCGTTTTTATTCCATTGTTATAGCACGATTGTGCAACTGTGCAGAACTATAGATCACTATGGCATTATGCTTCTGTTATCTTTCAATAGTGCTGTTGTTGTGGAATTGGCCCTAATGTGATCATCTCCAGAGTTGCCAGAGTGAAAATTGGAGATGCTCCCTGGAACTTTAATGGCTTTGTAGAAAGAGTTTCCACAGGTGTGGCTTTAGTTACCTGCCTGCATGACAAGCAATAACACCAGATGAAAACCCCCTCTTCTGTAGCACAATTAAAGGCACAGGAGCCCTCTCCAGTTTTCACTGTGGCAACCTTATCTTAGCAGCAAGAAGAGTTCTACCCTTGCTCTTTTAAGTAAACTATTAACAGAAAGCTGAGACTTTTTCAGGAAGCCAAATTCTGTGTCTCTGCTTTCCTCAAAATTGTTGTTGTCGCCTGCCTCAATCCATGGGAAGAGGCGGATAAGAAATTATTATTATTATTATTATTAATTATTATTATTATTATTATTTTCCTGAAAAATAAAGGCATTCACACAGCTGTAGGTCCAACATAGCTAGAAGTTGGGTCTCCCTTATCCAGACTTCTGAAATACGCCAAAATCCAAAATTGCCCACCTGGGTGGCTGAGACAGTGACACTTTTCCTTTCTGATATTTCTGTGTACACAAACTTTGTTTCATGCACAAAATTAATGAAAATATTATGTATAAATTGCCTTCAGGCTATGTGTATAAGGTGTATACAAAACATAAATGAATTTCATGTTTAGACTTAGATCCCATCTCCAAGAAATATGCATATGTTTATGCAGATATTCCAAAATCTGAAAAATCAAAAATCTGAAACACTTCTGGTCCCAAGAGAGACTCCACCTGTACTGGTGTGTATAGACTGGATATCTTTGGGTGCATCTAGTCTGCAGAAATAATGCAGTTTGACACCGCTTGAATTGCTATGGCTCCATGCTCTGAAATTGTAGTTTTGTGAGATGTTTAGTTTTTTCTGTCAGAAAGCTCTGGTGCCACAACAGACCACAGATCCCAGGATTCCATAGCATGGAACCATGGTAGTTAAAGTGGTGTCAAATTGCAATGTTTCTGCAGTGCGGATGCACCCAAGGACTGCAGAACTCAGTTTTTATAGAATATCAGCCACTCTGGCCCATCATTGATGGAAGGAACATTGAGTCAGGCTTTTAGTTAATCTTG